TGCAGCAGAAGGTGCTATGTTTTAAAGTAGTTCTGGACACTTAGAGTTACTGAGATACAGAGACAGCAAAGAAAAAAGAACTTTATTCAGCCAGAGATAGACTGAAGAGCACGCTGCGCAGCAGTCAGCCTGAAAAATGATGAGAAGGTAGAGGTGCTGATGTATCTCATGAAATGCAAAGAATGTGCATTTTAATTGTGGGCTATACTGGAAAATGAGAGTGTGCAAATGACATGAATACTTTTATAGGTAGCTGGAGCTGCCCAAGATTGAGCTGCAAAGAGAAGACACTTATTGATGGGAGACTGGAAGGGGGCATATAGACAAACAGAAATGGACCAAAAAGTGCTTTATGAACAGGATTACCTGCAGGATGCTCATCATCCACCTCATCCCCACATCTTCAGCCACTCTATATGAGAGTAGGGGTGTAAATGATAATCGTTTTTGTATCGATGCACCAATTCAACAGCCAACGATCCAATCCATCTACGTGTCTGCTACTATCGATTCATGTTTTTTCCCCCCTTTGGTCTATTTTTATCCATTTGCTCCTGTGCTGAGGTGGTGCTAAACCTATTTTTCCCTCCTACCTCACTCCCTTTAGCCACTACCCTCTTTCCGCTTGCACACACACACAATTGCGTAAACACAGAGGCATTATTATTTTTCAGTGAATGAGGTTTTCATAGGCCTAGGTGGACTACAACTTTGCTACTTCTGTTATTTGCTGTTGTTTTTCAAATAAAATGCACAATATTACAGCTTTCATTTATTTATTTCAAAATGTGAAACATTGTCTGGCCTATAAGATAAAAAAAAACAACAAAAAAAAAAACAATCGAATCGTATCATGGTGTATTCTTGAGTATCGAAAATAATCGAATTGTTGGGTCAGGAAATTGATACTGAATCAAATCGCCATGATGGATGTGATTTTCACCCCTAGATGAGAGAGTCAGCATTCAGAAAAGTATGGCAAACTTTCCTGTCCTTTGCTTTACAGTCAATTCGCTGGTCATAGTCATTCCAAAAAAGAAAATTAAAAGCAATCCACTGGACTTTGTTTCCAAGTTGAATGTTGGCAGCAGACTGTAGACGATGTGTTCTTTAACCAGCCT